CCCCCCCCCATCTTCAACCATCCGCTGGGCACCCCAAACACCACTGCACTTTACTTGCTGCCCCAACACACTGCTCCCCGGGCACAGGAGAACCACCATCTCCAACCCCAGCATCTCCTGTTACACTGCCCAGGCAAGGCGCTGCCCGCTCCTCCTGCCAGGGGGACAGTGGGTACACCAAGGCTCCCAGCGGTACCTGTGTACTCAGGGAAGCAGATGGTGAGGGGACTGTGCACGATCTTCTCCTCAAAGAGGTCCTTCTTGTTGAGGAAGAGGATGATGGACGTGTCTGTGAACCACTTGTTGTTGCAGATGCTGTCAAACAGCTTCATGCTCTCATGCATCCGGTTCTGGCAGGGGAGATGGCAGCTTGAGCTGGGCAGGGAGCCCCTGGCAGCGCCCACCCCACTGCTGCCCAACCTGCTGCCCCCACACCGCTCCTGCCTGCCTCAGCAGGGGATGCTGGTGGCCCTGCAAGGCTTGGGCCACGCTGCCCAGGGCACTGGTGGCCACCAGAGGAAGGGGTGCTCCCCCAGCCCCACAAAGAGGGGACAGCTCACAGCACTGGCTCCATCCCCTCCTACTCACCATCTCCTCATCTTCAGCCAGCACCAGGTCATAGGCACTCAAGGCCACACAGAAAATGATGGCTGTTACCCCCTCAAAGCAGTGGATCCACTTCTTCCGCTCCGAGCGCTGGCCGCCCACATCGAACATCCTGCAGCAGGGAGGCAGTGTGGTGATGGGCAGCAGCTCCCAGCCCCACCACCCTCACCCCGCTCCCTGCCGCAGTTTCCCCGGCTACCCAGAGCAGGAGTCGTGCTGGGAAAAGGCACCAGAGTGAGCAGAGCACAGCACCTTTGCGCCAGGGATTTTGCCGGTGCTGCAGATCTGCCCTGGCACCCACTGCCCATCCCAGGGACAGGGCGGTGTCCAGGCTCATTTCCCAGCCGGAGCAAATCCTCGCTGTGAGTCAGGCAGGATCAGGCTGCATTTCCCAGGGGGAGTCAACACGATGCTCCCTGGAGCTGGGCTCCAGGAGGTGCTCTCACAGACCCACACTGGAGCGGGCACTGTGGGGTTTTGCCAGAGGCCTTGGACCCAGGGGAGCTGCCGGAGCTCAGCCAGGAGGCCGTGGGCTGAGGGACTGCGAGCAGCTCAAGGGCTCTGGGGATGATCCCGGTGCACCGTGTGCTTCTCCTGCTGTAGGCAGCAGAGGATGCCCTGCCTCCACAGAGGAGAGCCCAGCAGCAGTGCCAGATCCACCATCAACTGCCAGGCTAGCAGGGAGGGGCTTCTTCACTGCTGTGCCCCCTCACCAGACCACCCTCTCTGCCCTGCTGCCACCTTCAAAGCACGGTCGCCACGTGTGACCAAGCACCTCCATCCCACCGGTGTAGCACAGGGGTCCCTGCGAGCCCCCACACTCAGAGAGGACCCCAGCAGATCTTTCTGGCAGCAGCTCCGTTGCCAAGTGACTAAATCCCCCAAGATGTGCTCAACGCTGGCTTTTTGCCTCGAGAAACTGGAGCCCTGACTATTTCCCAGAGGGTTTCAGTGGAAAACAACCCCGGGATGCCAGCGGGCAGCAGCACCAGTGCCCGACTCCGAGACCCCCGGCTCCCACCCAGAGCCCTTCCCACAGCGGAAGCGGCGTCATAGCACCCAGAGGGTGCCTTCCCCCTTCCCCTCCTCGCCAGAGGCTGGATCCGCCCCCAGGCCAAGCCCTGCAAGGCGTTTTTGAGGCTGCTCCAGCTATTTCGGCGGTTTCCGCTCTCTCCGAGGCAGCGGCTCCCGCCATAAGCAAACCCAGAGAGAGTAGTTCAGCACATGCAGCGTGCAGGCAGGATATAGCCCGGCCTGGAGAGGAAGGGGTTTGGGTTTTTTCGCCTTGGAAAATGCAAAAGGGAAAGGGTCAGACGTACTTGAAGTGCAGGTCCTTGAAGGTGAAGTGGGTCTCTACAATGCCAGTGGTCTTAACCCTGGTGCGCAGCACGTCCTGCTGGGTGGGGATATAGTCAGCACGGGCTATCCTCTCCAGGTCGTTCAGGTAGCTAGGGAGGGAGCAGAAAGGTGCTATGGAAGCAGGGCACAACCCACCCTGCATCCCACGGGGCATCCCCACACCACTCCAGGGTCCCCCGCCCACCCTGACATCATCCATCTGGGGTGGGCAGTGCCAAGCCATGCAGCACAGCAAACCCCATCTGCACCCCGAGGATACCCCACGGCCCTGCCAGACACAGGCAGGGCAGGATGGCCAGATGCTGGGGCAGCAATGGGACACACGGGAAGGAGGGCTTGGAGGGCAACATGTCGGCACTAGGGGCCAGGCAGGGGACGCAGCCGGGGCTGGGGGGCTCCCCTCCGTTTCCTGGCCGTTTGCATGGGGGAAATGGCAAGAGGAAAGTATTCACTGCTATGGCAACCGGCCGCAGCGCCGGCGGAAACAATCGATGGCGCCGTGCCATTTATAGTCAAAAAACACAAAGGGCCGGCATCCTGGGAGGAAGCGAAAGGCGGGTGGCTGGAGGGATGGGGAGCAGCATGGCAGGGGGGCTGCTGTCTGCCCCTAGCCCCCCAGGGTGGCCCTGCCAGGCCCCAGCTCCTGGCAGCGGTGGTGGCTCCCTCCCCAAGCGGCTGCCAAGACCAGCCGAGGGATGCCAGGGGGATCAAGACAGGTTTCAATTTCTCCAGCTCACTTTGCTTTAATTGGGTTATTATAAACAGGCTCCTTTAAGCAAAGTAGGCTTGCACTAATTAAGGCTTTTGCAGCCCCATAATCTGGTGAAAGCCAGATTACAGCTCGCGAGGCCACAGGGATCCCCGGCTCTGATGGCAGCACGGCTGCTTGCCAGCTCCTGGGAAGGCCTCCAGCACGCCGGGGCACAACGGGAGCTGTGGGTGCCCCAGGACCCCGCCGTGGGTGCGAGGGCGGGGGGGGGCTGGCACGCCACCGCCGCAGAGCAGCTCAAAAACAGCCGGAAACACACACGGCCTCCGGCTGACAAAAAAACAGGAAACACCGCGGCAGGGCCGTGCACAGCGCCGGCAGCACTCGGACCTTGCGCCCAGCCCCGGGGTGCTGTCAAGCGCCCGCCCCAGCACCCTGAGCTCCTGGCACCCCAAGGGGCCGCGGACGAGGAGGCTGGGGGCTGCTGCAGAGGGCTGCGGTGGAGATTGGCTGCATGCTGGGCATGGCGCGGGGCTCCTCATCCCCAGGGTGCAGCACCACGGGCACAGCACCATCTCTGCAGGGATGGACGGGGCACTGACTACCACACCGGCATGTCTGTGGGGCTGGAGAAAGGCTGGAGCAACAGCTCGAGCGAGCTCCTAATTAATGCTCATCCAACCCCCACAATGTGCCGAACGCTTCATAAACACACTCACAGCGATACTCGATTTGCAGATATGTTTGCTCAAACTGTGTGTGTGAGCTGCCAGGCACCTGCTGGGTCTTCCATGCTTCCAAACCAGCACCTGTAGCACAGTGCAGCACTGCCTGGGAAGTGTGGGTGCTGGCTGGGGAACAATGGGGCTGAGCAGGACAGGGCCTGGGGAGGGCGGGTGGGTGCTGGGCAGGAGGAAGCGAAAGCCGCGGATGCTAGAGGAAAGCGCCAGCAGAAGCTTCTGCAGGGTCAGCGCTTGCCGGGAGCTTTCCTGCAACCTCTTCCTCCCAGGGACCTCAGTGCAGAAAAGGGACCTGCTGGTGCCAAGTAGGAGGGGACAACTGGGCTGCCATTCAAGGGGACCAAGCAGCACCCAGGATGATGGGAAGACCCAAGGCTGCTCAATTCCCAGCAGTGCCAGCCTTGGCAGGGTTTTCCTGGCACACCACAAGCTCCCCCTGGCCCTGCTTTACCACAAGGGGTCTGGGCAGAAAAGGCAGGAGGGCACCATGTGAGCTGAGCACAGCCTCAACTGCACCACCCTCTGCAGCAATCATACTTTAGGCAGATTAATTTATATATTAAATCTCTTCAGGGATAAATCCAACCAGATGCAGGCAATTTATCTACCTAAACACCATTTTACCAGCTAATACACCAGCGTAATGCCAAGTCCTTCCATATAAACCCATTTAAAAAGAAAAATAAAACCCTCTTGTGCAACTTATTCATATATAAGTGACCCCAGTGCTTTCTTTGGGGCTTTTCCTTGCCTTCATGGCCCATGCCCATGGGCACGGGGACAGGCAGGACCCCCTGCTGTGCTCACACAAAGCAGGACATCTCAGGATGCAGAAGCCAGGGGAGAGCATCACCAGGGAAGGGCAGTGGGCACAGAGTGGCAGCAGGAGAAGAATGCACCAGTGCCCCCCTCCCAGGGGATGCAGCACCCCGCCAGAGGAGGAAACAGCTTTCAAAACATCCGCCTTCCCAGTTCTGCTCAGGCTCAGCTCCAGCGCTGGGCGGGAAGTGGCAGCACCAGCCCCCAGACCTGGTGATGGGGAACAGCAGTCCTGGGGGGATTTTCTGTTGCACAATAAAAGCGAGGTGCCCCGCACAGCTCAGATTCAGCTGAGCTGGGGGAGAGGAGCAAGGGTACTCACTAGGCTGCGGAGTCATTCAGCTGGTACTCTCGGGAGCGGTTAAAACAAGCCTGGACCCCGTTGTCAGCCCACAGCCTCCGGATCACATTGGCTAGGTCCTCTGGCATGATGCCCTGCTCCTCGGCAGTGCAGGAGAGCGCAAACAGCTGTCGAGCATCATCCTGCAGGGAAAAGACAGGGTTCAAACATCGGCATGGGGTTATCAAGGCTCGCTCTGCCCCAAAGGATCTGACTGGAGCCCACCATGTCCCACCCAGAGAGCAGGGCAGGAGCTCCAGTGGTGGATGGGGATGAGACCCATGGGAAGCAGTGGGACACCCAGCCCTTCACCTATCAGGGGCCACATTGGGGCAGGCCACCCACAGGTTATGCTGTGGGTCCCTCCATCCTTGGCACCAGGGACAGGAGATCACAGCTCACCAGGAAGTAGCAGGGCTTGGGTAGAACCACCCTTGATCCTGGTCCAGCCTTGGGCGCATCTGCTTTTGCCCCCCAAGAACCCCCACCCCTGCTAGGTGCAGTGGGAGCAAGAGGGCACCCACCGCTCTGGAGGAGTCTCCAAAGTCAATCTGCAGGTTCCCCATTGCCTTGATGATGGCCATGATGGACTGGATGGTGTTGCTATAGACCACGGCTTTGTACTGCCGGCACTCCTCCTCTGAGTAGCCATCCTCATGGATGATCCTGGGACAGAGACACAGGCAAGGTCAGTCCTCTGCAGAGCAGCCTGGGGTGCTGTCCCCCATCCATGCTCTGTGGCAACACCCATGGGGAGCTTTCCCCAGCCACTAAGCATTTTCAGAGCCCATGGCCAAGGCCTGTGTGGTGCTGGCCACAGTGACAGCGTGGGAATCACTCACTTCATCTGTTTGACGATGGTGCTCTTCCCAGACTCGCCAGCACCTGTGGAGAAATGAGGAAGAGGGACAGTGAGGTGCTGCCTGAAGCTGGGGACCCCCACCCTACTGGGATCCCCTCAGCCCCGGGAAGGAGGGCAACAGGTGCCTCAGCCAACAGAGAATAGCTCCCAGCCTCAGCTGGAGCAGATACCTAGACAGGCCCTGGGAACATCAGAGCCAAGAAAGGGGGAGAAAAAGGGGAGCCTGGCGGGGACCTTGCAATAGGTCCAGAGAGAAGAAATGACACCTGCTCTGGGCCAGGGAAGTGGCATCAACCCACTAATGTTTGCCCTGCAGTCCTGGCATGCTGCAGCCGAGACAATTGGCAACTCTGGTGTCAGCTGACTTCAGAAGTGGGGAGCCCCCAGTGACAGGGGGCTAAGCCCTGCCTATCACCCTCCATCCCAGCTTCAAGCAGAGCCTGAGCTTAGCTGCTGCACCCACATCCTGCATCCCTATTGTGCTGGGGGACGATGGAGGTACAGGCAGGGAGCTGGGTGCCCGAAGCTGAGCACCCCAAGGAACTTGGGAAGAAGCTGCCGCCTCCACCAGCCGGCTCGAGAGGCTCCCAGCGGGATCAGCCGCCCCCGAGTTGCTTTTTAAATAGCGCGCACTTTCCAGCCTGCCAGGTCCCGCGCCCCAGCCTGCCTGCGGAGGTGGCTGCCAGCAGGAAAGCCGATGACTTTTGGGTTGGGTTTATTTTTCAGCAACCAAACACAGGATGCCAGGATTTCAGAGAGGATGGCCAGTGAGCCTAAGGCTCCCCCTCTGCCACCCTGTTCCCCTTGGGGACGTCACCCCTGCGCAGGCAACGTGCATCTCCCAGGCCAGCCCTCCCTCCCCAGGCTGGGAGCGGGGAAGGAGTGAAGTCACTCTGGCTGCAAGAAAGGGGAAGCTCAAAGGGGAAGCTGAAAGGGATGGTGCATATCCCTTGTCCCCTCTACAGGCACGGAGTGATACCAAGATGGATGAGCACCTGGCTCACCTCGGCCCAGGACCCCCAGCAGGATGAGCCCCCTTTGGCGGGGGGCCAGCACGGTCCCTGCCTCTGGGTGCAAATCCCAGGGGATCCTCCCCAAGCCAAGTCCATCTGTCTGTCCTCTCCCAGCCCTCTCAGCAGATCCTCCTGCTGCTGTCTTCAGCCATGGAGCTGCCCTTACGGGGGCCCCCAGGCAGGCAGTGGCAGGGCTGTGCCAGCACGGCCGCAGAGGGGGAAGAGAGATTACAGACAAAAAAAAAAATTTGAAAAAGGAGATTATACTAAAATTAACCAGGAAAAACAGCCCGTCATGCCAGCTGAGACATGGTGGCAGGGAGCAAATGCCTTCTGCCCATGCCCGTGCCACTGGCATAAATGCAGCCTAAGTGATGGACACGTATTCCATGGACATCACCATGGGCACTGCTCAGGGCACGGACCCCCTCCGAGGTTGGGGCCATACTGATGCTATACAGACCCTGTATTTATTGTCACGACCATCCTACTCCACAGTTTCCATGCTACATATGCTGAGGGAGAGGCTTTGCTCAGCCCAGAGGCGAGCGTTTGGCGTGGCGAGGACTCTCCGGCACTGCTGGCCCAGCCTCCACCAGCGCCCTCAGGGTGCTGACGCGGCACCCGGAGCAGCCCAGCTGGTGTTCGTGGTCAGTGCTGGCAACTCCTGCTCGGAGCTGGGAGCAGGGTGGGGAAGGACTCAGCGTATCCCTTCATTTTTTCCATTAAATACCGCTGTTTTTTGACAACACCACCCCATACTGCCAGACTCATCAGTCAGGGCCAGCTGCCCTCACCATGCCCTTCCCCAGTGGGTGCCCAGACAGGGAAACTGAGGCAGGTTGCAAGGGAGGACCCTGCCTATAAGCATCCCTGAGGTGAGGTGCCAGACAGTCATCCCCCAGCCTCCTGCTCTGCCTGACATGTGCTCCCAACCCAGGAGGGAACAACCGCCCTGGGACCTCCTGCCAGCTCCTGACAGTCACCGGCAGGGCAGCAGTCACCAGCAGCCACTGAGGTCGGCCATTTCCCTCGCAAACTTCCCCCACGGCTCCTGGCTCCTTCCCCACAAAAGGCAGCTGTGCCATTACCCCCCAGTTTCAAGCTAGCACCTCTGCTTGCCATCCGGAGCTCACCCAGCACAAAAGCCTACACACTTGCAGTGAGTACAAATTCAGGCCTGAATTACTGACACCCCCCTGGCTGTCCCGCCAGCACCCAGAAGCACGCTGGGGTGGCAACAATTAGTGTCATTCCACACATCCCCCGCTTCAATTTCCCTTTCAAATCATTGTCTTCACCTAACGAAGGGCCCAGGTAATTGCTGGGGAAGCTGTGTGCCTCCCCCAGCCATGCCACCCCCAGCATCTGCTGGGGCCTGATGGGCGTCCCAGCACCCATAACTCCCCCCCAGATGAGCACAGGGGGACCCTTCCCGGCCCCCCCAGGCAAGCACAGCGGAGGGGAAGGGTTTCCAATCCCCGGAAAACAGCGGCTGCCGTCCATTCAGCCCCAAAACAATCCCTGGGCAGGCCGCCAGCTGCTGGCTTCCACCCTCCTGCCCAAATCGGGCAGGAGACAGGCAGCACCAGAGGGGCTTCACGTCCTTCGGACAGCCCACACCAGCCAGGCACTGGAAGGGGATGGGAGAACCCCCCAGCATGGGCTGACCCCACGGCTGGGCTTCCTCCAGTCCTGCCTGCTCCCTGCCCATGCTGCCCAC